CTTCTTTAAAGGCCCCATCTCCAAATGCAGACACATTCTAAAGTATTGGGGGCCAGGGCTTTAACATAGGAATTTTGAGGGAACACAATTCAGCCCATAACACCTTCTTGGAAGTCAATAGGAGACAGAGTCCGATTTCCGCAGTGGAAGCTGAAGATGACCTGTTCTCTCCTTTCCCAGCCTCCCTAGCAGCTGGGCCAGGCATAAAACTCACACTCTGCTGTTGGGAGCTGGTGCTCTGGATGTGGGGTTTAGAGGAAGTGAGGGGGGCACCAGGGCAGAGAGGCTCTCTCTCCCTTTGATGCTGTAGGCTCATGGTTTCAAGTTTAAGTTCCTTTGTTTGGCTTTTTAAAATTCCCATAGTACAACCCTGGTTGGTTTTGCTCAATGGTTAGAGTGTCGGTCTGCGAACCAATGAGTCATGGGTTCGATTCTGGTCAAGGGCACGTACCTCAGTTTTGATTAATCCCAGCCGTGGCTGGGGTCATGCGGAGGCAGCCACTCGATGTGTCCCTTTTATGTCCATGTTTCTCTCACTCTCTCTCTCTTCCTCTCTCCTTTCCACTCTATCTGAACAAAAATGGAAAAATGTCTTCAGGTGAGGATAAAAAATAAAAATAAATAAATAAAAATAAAAAACTTCCATAATACAATTGCAACCTGTCCATCTCATCTCATACCCTACTGCTGAGGCCCTCTGCAGTTAGAAGGGCCTCCTGCTTAGTGGTGAAGTGCACAGGCCTTCACATCAGACAGCTGGGGCTTGAATCCAGGCTTGCCACCTTTTGGCAATGTGACCTCTGATGCATGCACCCTCTCAGCCTCAGTTTCCTTGTGTGTGCAATGGAGTTGATGATGGTCCATGGAAGGCATTTAGATCCACCTCTCAACATCTGTGCCATCCCAGCAGATGAATCTGAGAGTAGTTGTAGGGTCAGCAGCAACAGCATTACCTGGGAACTTGCTAAAAATGCCAAGTCTCAGGCCCATCCCAGATCTGCAGCATCAGACACTCTGGGGATGAAGTCTAGGGGACTCTGACATAACCTGTTTGAGGACCACCGCTCTAGTTATGATGGTTCCAACAGCACTGCAAATGACTGGTTTAAGAATAGTCAAGACAGTGCCAGTAAGACTGAAGAAAAAAGTTGCTATGGCTTCTACAAAAGAAGCTTCTTGGCTCTTAGTAGAAAGCCATGGAGTGCCACCTCCCTCTTTCCCAAGTGTGTAAAGGAACTACGCTGAGTCGTGAGAGAAGATGAAGCTGATGCGTGGGGAAGGCAGTACTAAGAAGTACATTGAGAAATGAGAGATGGAGCCAGATGGATGATGAAACCCTGCCTGCAACCCACCCTACATCCAGATATCCAGTTATGTGAGCCAAGAAAATGTCTTATCTTTCAGCTGAGTTGAGGTTTCTGTGACTTGCAGCCAAAAGAACTCTAATGACTTATCTCCCAAGATCGCTGTGAGGTGAGATGATTCATGTCAAGTGCTTAGCACAGTCTCCGACACCCTGGAGATGCTCATTATGTGTCTATTGCTATCGTTATTTGCATTATTATTATTACATGCATTCCAGATGCATTAAAACAAACTGTGTCTTGACCTATTCTAATTCTCCCGCCATGACCTCACACCATCATATGCTTTAGCCTTTGAAATCTCACCTCCCTATTTCAAGACCTATCTCAAATGGGACCTTTCTGAAGCCCTTGGGAATTACTGAATCCAATCCAACCTCCCTCTGCTGAATTCTTGTATCCACTTCTGTGCTTCAGTTTTATGAGGTTTAGCATATGTCAGTTGGGGCAGTTCTACAGTTGGACAGTGGGCGGTGCCAAACAGCCTTCTCTGCCGTGGTGGGTAGGCCTATGTTGCAAACCTTTGCTTTCTCTCTCCCCAACTAGAATGTGAGCTCCTTGTCAATAGTGTCCACGTGTTATTTCTTTTGTTTTTCTACAAAACTTAGCATGATGCTGAGTGCTTGGGTGAAGAGAGACGAGTGCCCACCAGGCATGACGTTAATGCCTTACCTGTATTATCAAATCTGAATCTTACACAGTTTTCATGTAGTAGTTATTGTTTATTGTGTTCCTTCAGGCACACAAGGATGGCAGTAAAAATAGTCACAATAGGACTTTTTATTCTACTTGATTCATAAACAATAACATCACAAAAGCTGGTTTAAGGAGGCCACACAAACATTTGCCCAGCCCCAAACTCAATATCATCTCCATAAACTTCTATACAGTAAGAACACTCTCTTCCATTGCAATTCTGAGGCAAGAAAACTAATAATGATAGAGGAGAGGTTTAACTGGTAATTTTATACTTTCAATATCAATTATAGTTTTATACTAAATTAACCTGGTCATGAGAGATGATTTCCCATGTCTTCAATTTGAACTTCTCGATGAGGCCAATTCATTTGCAATTCTGCACTGTTTCAGCACCTCCCTGAAACCCTCACAAAGCTTAAGGTCAGCCTGGTTCTGGGAGCACTCCAAACACTGGTTCATCTCATGGTGACACGGGCTAAATTGCTGCTGCTGCTGCTGCCGCTGCTGCTGCTGGTGTGCTGGCTGGGTTCCCTGATGCTCCTGGTAAGTGAGGTCAGGCCTTGAGGGCTCCACATGACTTCCTTCACTGAAGCCTCCTGTGATGGCATGACCTAGCATGTGGCTGACAGCAGAGCCCACAGCCACACCAGCTGCAGTGGTTGCCACCTGGGCCATCAGACCTGGCTGCCGGGGTGCAGCAGCATGTGAGCCAGCAGCAGATGGTGCAGCCAATGCTGACGGTTGAGCTGTAGGTGCGGCCTGGGTACAGCTCTCATCAGAGGTGCCTGGCAGGCCGAAGGGGCCATGGGAGAAGTGTGGCTTCGGCTTCCATGTGGCATCACAACTGCTCGGCGGTTCAGTGTCTACAAGTGTGAAACTTAGAGAAGACTCCCACGATAGAAATTTTAAAAGACTATATTCTCCGGCTTCAACATTATTGGGAATTCCAGACCACCTTAGATACCCCCCCAAATCATTTTGAGATCCCCAAAGTGTGGTCCATCCTTTTGGTTCATCCAGGCATCTGCCATCTCCTCCTCTCATCCTCCCCAAACCTCACCTCCATGACCACACTGTCCCTGCCACCACCACAGTCGGAGTGTCAGGCCCTGTACCATGGGGGAGCCTGGGATAGAGAACAGAGTCCTGTGTTACTACTAAAGCTTCAGATCCACAACCTACAGGTGGCCCACTGTAGACATGTGCCTTCCTGCTTCCTCACTTTGAATGTGCTGTCTTCCTCCTCTTAGCTTTTAATCCCATTGCTCAAGTTGTGAATTCACTCACCTCTTCCTTTTTGATGACTCCCACCCAGGGGAGCCTACACAGATTGACTTCATCTTCTTCTTTACTGCTGGAGAGCACGGTGAAGAAAAGCCACAAACCCTTTGTCTGCATTTGTTCCCACAGATACTTGATAATTCTTTAACTCATTTTCTGCTATTAAACTCTTCCAGATCTTGTCTGTTGTCTGAAAACTCCTGGCCACTCTCTGTTTCCTACTCTTAGGAATAACTTCATCCAATTTCACTGAGATCACTGAATCTTGTTACCTGCCTTGATCTGCCCATTTCTCTGAATCCTCACCTCCCTCTTCTTCGATGCTGCAGATTATGCAAAGGATGGCTCTTTCCTCTTGGCCAGGCCAGTCTCTCACCCAGCACTTCTCACCAACCCTGGGTTCACAGACCATCACCGCTCTGCCTCCCTCTTTGGCTTCTTCTCTCCTGATTCCACCTCCTTCTCCATGTTTACACAGAGTCATATTTACTCTCTACTAAAATGAAACCAAAGCCCTTTCCCTTCACCCACTCCTTCCATAAGCTTCTGCTCTCAGCTCTTAACCACCCAACTTCCGCAAACCAGTCACCTTCACTGTCTCCCCAGCTCCCTCTCTCCCACCTTCTCGGTTGGCCTCTTCCCGCTGCTCTTTGGAAACTGTTTCCTCAAAGGACAGCAATGACCCTGTGTGCACAATCCACCCTCCTGTTCTTGGTGGACCTGAGCCCACTGAATAGTATGTCTTCTGTGAGTTTTTCCACTGTGCTTTTAGGACCCTGGAAGCGTTCTGCACCTCTTCCACCCTTGCTGTCCCAGGAGCCCCTCCTGTTTCTGCCCTCAGGCCTTTCACTGTCTCTCCACACTCTCCCCCTCAGTGACCTCACTCACACCCACAGCTCCAACTATCACTTCTCCCAACAAGACAAAACCCCTCTTTTCCCTGTGCCCGATGTTGCTCCCCAGACGAGCTCCTTCCACATGTGATCCCACTAATTTTTCCCCCTAATGCTGAGTTTAATCATGTCACCTCCTTGGTCAGCTCTATCAATCCAAACAATGGAGAGATGCATAACCAATGGACAGAGACAACAGTACTGGGGACAGAGCAGTGGGGAGGGGTTGTTGGGAGGAGGGTGTCAATTGGGAAAAAAGGAGAAACATCTGTAACAAAAATAAATTAATAAAAAAATTATAAAAAACAAAAACAAAGAATGGAGAGGGATCAGAGAGACCTAGAGTCTTAAATTAGGAGACTTTAGGATTATTGTCTAGTCTAAACTCTGATCCAAGGCAGAAACACCTATCACAGTATTTTGGGACAGATTGTCATCAGGTCTTTGCTTAAATGTTCATAACAATATTTCATGAAGTTCCTTTTTCCATTTAAAAATAGTTATTAGCTCTGCCAGTGTGGCTCAGTGGTTACAGGGTTGACTCACACACCGAAAGCTCTCAGGTTTAATTCCCCGTTAAGGGCACGTACCTGGTTTGCATGTTTGATCCCAGGCTTTGGTCAGGGTCATTCAGGAGGCAACTAATCAATGTGTCTCTCTCACATCGATGTTTCTCTCTCTCTCTTTCTCCCTTTCACTCTCTCTAAAAATTGATGAAAAAAATATCCTCAGGTGAGGATTAACAACAATAAAAGTTATGAATCAAATGTGGATACCCCCAGAAGTCACTCTCCTGGGGGTTCTGTCCAGGCAGCGTAGGGGAGCACAGGGCTCTGCCCTGTGTACAGCCCTTTCCACAGTGTTGGAGAGAAAGCCAGGTCTTGAGCCTGTGCCAGCATATTTCTACAGCCTCTCAGAGTCCTGTGGATGATGACTGAGAAGACAAACCATGCAGGAAACATCAATTAGAAATAAAGAAAAATAGTTATAAAATAGCTATTGAGTTCACCTTGGCTACTGATTCAGTGAAATGGCTTTCCTGGTATAACATGCTCTTTTCCTCCCCCTCCCCCCACACCCTTCCCACACTCCAGCCAATTGGATTACTCACTGTTGCTCTGACTTGTCCCTCTCTCCTGCTTCCACCCCTCCCCTATGCTGATTCTTACCAGAAACACGTTGGCCCCTCAGCTCAGTCTTTTTGTCTTACAAGGTGGTGCAGATACCAGCTCCGACAGGAAAAGTTCCTGATCTCACCAACTAAATTCTTTCTCCCCTCCTGAATCCCTAAAAACACGCAGTTCTTATCCACTTCTCTCTCATTCTATTCATCAATTTATTCATTCCACAACATTATAAGTATGTTTTTATTGATTTTTTTAGAGAAAGGAAGGGAAAGAGAGAGAGAGAGAGAGAGAAGCATAGATATGAGAAACAGCGATTGGCTGCCTCCTGCATGCCCCCTACAGGGGATCAAGCCAGCAATCCAGGCATGTGTCCTGACCAGGAATCTAACCAGTGACTTTTGGTGCATGGGTCTATGCTCAAACATTGAGCCACACTAGCCAGGCTTTCCACAACAATCCTTGAACTCACAGTGGACCAGACTCTGTCCTGGGCACCGGAGACATGGCAGGGACCATGGCACGGAGTTCCTGCCTGGGAGTATGAGGGTGCCCAGGGCAGAAGGCAGAAAATGCCGATCACCATGAAAAGTAATGACTGTTAGAAAAGGAGATGCTGGGAGGGCGTGGCAAGAGGCTCTAACCTGGTCCACGTCTGAGAGCGCATCTATGAAGAGTAGAGTTTGCTGAGAACCAGAAGAGTCACGCTCAGCAATTGGCCAGAAAAGAGTGAGGGTGTTCCAAGCACAGCGACTGCAGGAGCTGAGGTCCGGAGATAAGGCAGCGTTGCCATTCAAGGATCTAAAAGTCCCCCATGCCCGGTATTCAGAAGATAGGAGACAAAACAACAACTAATCTTGGAGGACTTTCAAACGCATGCCAAGAACACTTTTTATCTTGAAGGTGTTTGGAAGCCCCTAAAGGACTTTTCAGAACAGTGACATAATCAGTTTATATGCTTTTGAAATATTTCTCTTGTGTTCTGCCTTCATTATTGTTATTAATATGGGCCTTTCCTCTCCCTGCCATTCCATTTCACGTCCTTGCTTGTGGGTCTCTGTCTTTTTAGTCCCCCAAATGTCTGACTTAATATAGAGGGCAGGGCAGGTGTGGTAATTAATAAATGTTTATAGAAGTGAATGTGGAAAAGAAAAACATTTTAGGCATTATATTCTGAAAGATGAAAGCTAATAACTGCATGACTATGGGTTATGAAACCAAAATAGGCAACAATAAGTTAAAGGAATGTATTTGTTCATTTGTATCATATTAAAGATGAGCTCTGGCCAGGTGGCTCAGTTGGTTGCAATGTTATCCTGTACATTTTTGTAAAAAAGCAGGTTCCGTTCCCGGTCAGGGCACATTCCCAGGTTGCCAGTGCTATGCGGTTGGATTCCTAGTCAGTCGGGGAGCGTGCAAGAGGCAACTGATCTCTCTCACTTTCCCTAAAATCAATTAAAATTTTTTTAAAAAAAGAAAGAAATATTAAACATGAGGAAGTACTCCTCAAAACCTAAAGGATATTTGATGCACATTAGTTAATCCTTTGAGACAGATGTCTTGGGAGCAACTTCTGTCTGAATATAGGATTTGATGGTTTGGCCCCTCCTTTGGGCAAGCGGAACTGGGCTCTAGACTGGGAGTTTGGGACTCAGGTCAGTAGGGAACTACCGCTCCGTCCCTCATCTTACTCTTGATAAATGTGCCATGATGGTGTAAAGTGATAGTAACTGGGAAAGCTGAAAGTAGGAACTCTCCACTACCTTTGCAACTTTTCTGTAAATCTGAAATTAATCCAAAACAGTTTATTTAGTTGGCTCTCTCTGGAGAGTGTGCCTGTGCCTTTCCCTGCTCCCTCTGTCCCCAGCACGGGCCTTTCTCCCAAGGAGCCCAAACCTCTCTTCCCTCTCCTGTCTCTCCAGGTTCACACCTCCCGTCCTCTTTCTCCTAAGTGCCAAGGGCCCTTCTACTTCCTCGGTCACTTTCTAAATAAAAAACATTTAATATATAATATTTCCTTTATAGTAAAAACAAACAAACAAAAATAAAATAGTTTTTTCTAAAGGAGTGGAAGGGAGGAAAATCGGCCCCGGGGGAGGCAGGGCAGCGCCGAGGCAGCCCTTGGGTTGAGATCTGCTGGGTCAGAATGTGCGGCGGAGGGAGCTGAGCCCCCAAGAGGTGCTCAGAGCAGAGAGTGGAGCTGCTGAAGCCTGGAGCCCACTGGGAACAGCTAGACCCATCTTTTCTTATCTTAAGAAGCACTTCAGTTAATGTTCAGTTCTTAACAATTTAGCATATCAGCATCTGTCTATATGTAGACTAAATTGTGAATAGATTGAATAAATAAATAAATGGGGAGAAGGGATACATCTTGCTTATAGAAGAATTCCAAATAATATGTATATAGACACCAACCCCCTCCAGGAGGTGGTACCTCTACCATTCTGAGGTTGGGCTGGAACTCATGACACTTCCAAAAAATAGTCAAAGAAGGAGAAAAATAGTAACTTTAGGTGGAGAGCCCCAGCAAACATGACTTTAACCAGGTGGTCAGATTAACATCACCCATGATGTCATGAGGCTATTCTGCACCCCGACATGCTGTGATGAGAACAGCACTTCATGCCAATGATCCTCCTTCTGAAATCCTATGTCCCCAGTCTGGTCATGAGGAAAATGTCAGACAAACCCAGATTGGGGAACATTCTAAGAAATATCTGACCAGTTCTCAAGAATGTCTAGATAATTAACAACAAGGGAAAACTAAGAAACTCCTATATCCTGGAAGAGGCTAATGAGACAGGACAACTAAGAGCAATGTGAGACCCTGGACTGGATCCTGAAGCAGAAAGGAGACAGAAATGGAAAAACCGGTGAAACCCAAATAAAGGCTGGAGTTTGGTCAATACTAATGTGCCCATGCCAGTTTCTTGGTTTTGACAAATGTACCATTGCAATGTAAGATGGTCACATTGGGGAAGCTGGGTGAAGGTTATATAGGAACTCTCTACTATCTTTGCAAATTTTTCTGTAAGTCAAAAACTAATCCAAAATAAAATTTATTTTTTAAAAAAGGTGTAGAAGAAGACCAATAAAATGTGACACTAAGAATTATTTTAAATTGTGACAGTGGCAAATGTTTGCAATCAATGGTCTTGTCTTTGGAGAAGGCCTTTCTGTCGTGCAAGGGAAGTCTGTCCTCTAACATTCTGGCAGCAGAGTGTGAAAGGGATTGTCTTATTTTTAAATCTGATTTTTTATTCTTCTGATGAAATTGTAAACGAACAAACAGGACTGGGGGGGGGGGGGTTGATCATGGCTAGAGTGTGTTTCTACATTCTGGCATCATGCCCCGATGTAGAACATTCTGGTTCCTAAACTCCAGCTGAACTTTTAAGGGGCCTGGGGTGCTCATGGAGAGAAGTGGCTGACAGAGAAGACCAGCAACATTTTTAGTGACACTGCCCCTTCACCATCACATGTGCCTTCTGATTTAAAACCATTGTGTGTTTATAAAATTCGCACTTCAAGGGGGCAAGTCTAACTGACAAAGGAACTTTCCTCTGCAAAATAAATAAGTGAAGAATGGGTGCCTCAAATGCACTTAAGTTCATTCACAGATGCATTCAGCATGCTTGCTGGTGCTCTGCCACGTGCCAGGCACCGTCCCCCAATGTGGACATTCTGGTTGGGGAGTCAGACTAGAAATAAAGAAATAAACACGAAGATGACTTCTGGCTCTATGAGTCTTTTCAGGCTGCCATAACCAAATACCACAGACTAGGCGGATTAAACAACAGAACGTTAGTCTCACAGCTCTGGAGGCTGGATGTTTAAGATCAAGGTGGCAGCAGGGTTGGTTTCTCCCAAGGTCTCTCTCCTTGGCTTGTGGATGGCTGCCTTCTTGCTGTGTTCTCACATGTTTCTCCTCTGGGCACACACATCTCTGGTGTCTCTTCCTCTCCTTGTAAGAACACCAGTTCTGTTGAATTAGGGCCCCACTTTTTAAATTTTATTTATTTTAGAGAGAGAATAAGGGAGAGAGGGAGAGAGAAACATTGATGTGAGAACAAACCATCGATTGGCTGCTTCCTGCATACTTCCTAGTGAGGATGGAGCTGGAACCAGGTATGTGCCCTGACTAGGAGTTGAGCTGGCAACTTTTTTGTGCACAGAACAATGCCCAACCAACTGAGCCACACCACAGGGCAGGGTCCCACTCTTATGATCTCATTAACCTCAATTAACTCCAGAAAAGCCCTGTCTCCAAGTAGAGTCATATTGAGGGTTAAGGCTTCAAAATATGAATAGGAGGAGGGTAAGGCACAGTCAGTTCATAACACTGGGACTGATAAATAATATGAAGAAAATATGAAGATTGAGGATGAGGTCACAGGGTGAGGAGGGACTCTCTTAGGAGAGCAGAGGCCTGACTAAGGAGACATCTGTTCTCAGATGTGTGCCACTTACAAGATAAGCTGGCATTAGACCGTCGTAAAAATTAGGATCTTATAGTTCTGCTGGTCCAAATCCCTCATTTTACAGAGAGTTGAAGTTCGGGAGAGATAAACAGTAACTCATAATTGTTTAGAACTTTACACCATCTTTCTCCATATTTACGCCAGCCTTGTACTGGAAGAATCTGTTCAGACCATTTATTATGGAATATTTTGAACATACAAAAGAGTAGGTACACTAACATATGAACGCTCACTCATTTCCAAACTTTTGTTAGTCTTTCCTTCATCCACTCTCCTTTTATTCCCCTGGAATATTCATAAATAAATTCTACATCTGGTTTCAGCAGGAAATATTTTAGCTTGCATCAGCAGAAAAAAAA